TGTTTGATAGAAGAGAAAGCTGCCTTATGGGGTTTTATTTGAGAAAAGAGTGAAACTGCACATTAGGGAATCAACTTTTCTGAGAAATGGTTACACCTCCCTGGACAGTAACCCAGTCAAAGAGAAACCACATAAATCCTTTCATGTAGGCAATATCCATAATTTTAGGGTAGAAATAGAACATAAGATGATGATGGGGTTGGGATCTGGACCCCGGAAAGGAAAAACTCTGGACTTCTCCACATGGCCAAATCTCTGGATTTCACCTGAGGCTATAATCCCATCAACTGGTCTTTTGTTATCACCTATGCCCAATCTCCCAGTTCTGTTACTCTTAACCTAGCCTAGTCCTCCATTGTTTTACCTCCCTTTGGCCTCTGACCACTTCCCACCAATCCTATCTAGGCTCCATTCTCTCTTGGCCATGTGGTCTGGGTCCCTGCAGACTACTTGACCACTGGTAGATCCCTCCCATAGTCTTTCTGTATATAAGGTCCATCTTGATGCTCAGATTCCTTAAGAACCTAGATAATAGATCACAAATATTCAGATTCCTTAAGAGTCTGGGCAATGTGGTGGATCTTCAATAAACCTTGTCTCCGGTTGAAAGAAGGCTTGCGTCAAATTCATTCAGGCAGGACCTGCATGATTTTGGGGTCCCAGCACCCTTAAACCTCCAGACTTTATCAATGGGATAACATGACTTCAAGAACAGACTGATGATGGTAGGGACAGGACTAAGGACAAGACTTTATAATTTGGAAAAGAGAAAGCTCCTACCACATAACACTATTTCCATCAGACATCATGCTCTTCAGGGACTGACATTTTTAAGAGACAGATACAGCATAAACCAATAAGAAGAAGACTGAATCAGAGCTACAAAGTTAATACCAACAACAAAAAAAAGGATAAAAGGAGGAACTTATTTTTGGAACTTCAGAAGTTCTAGCTTCTGAAAAATGTTAACAGAGAGGTGAAAATGGTGAACAAGTAAAAATTGGGCCCATGAACTAAGAAATAAAACTCAGCATAAACTTTTAAGGGAAAATAAATAATGAAGAGGAAAAAGCAAAGGATAACTTCCTGGAAAAGAGTAAAGCAAAAGATAATGATGCAAAATAAAGGATAAAATGAAAGACAGAAGAGGAAAAATTTTGAACTCCTTCCTTAACCAGGCATGAAAGGAGAAGGAACCAAAAGGGTAGACATAGATAAGCAAGAAGAAATTAAGTAAATTAACAATCTAAATTGTACATTCAAAGAAAGATAGAGGTAGGCAAGTACAAATGTAAGAGAGCAGAGAGTTTCTGGGAACAGATTAATATCAAAGTAGTATAAGCAAGACCAATAATAGTGTTGAGGTCTAGGGGTACTAGGAACCCCAAAAAGGGTCCAATAGCCAGAGATGCAGGTCCTGCCTCAAATGAATTCAACCTAAGTTTTCTTTCAGCCAAAGACAAGGTTTTTAGAACACTGGTCAGGGTGGGCTAGATTCTAAGAATCTGTCCGTTGGTAGATGAGATTAACTCTTTCTATAGGAAAAAGATCTGTGGGAAGATCTGGATGGCAGTGGACAGTAGCCTGGGGTGAGTGGGAGGCAACAAGAAGGGCTGGGTACTCCAGGCAAATGCCAGGGACCTGGGCTAGGTGGAAGAGGCATAGAAGGAATTAAGGGTGGGAAGTGACCTAAGACCATCCAGACAATGAAGGGCTGGGCTAGGTTAGAAGTAACAGAGAACTGGAGGTTTGCCACAGGCCACAAAGAAAGGCCAGTTGAGGTGATTATAGTCCCAGGTGAATTCCAGAGACTAGACATGTGGAAGAGTTCAGGGGAAGGGTTTCCAGGGTCTATACCCCATCATTAGCATCATCTCCTTAAGGGAAAAAAAAAAGTACTGACTTAAAAGAGGAAGGAATTGCAACAAGCTTCTCTGATAAAAGTCTCATTTCCAAGATATAAAAGAAACAGATTCACATTCTTGAGAATTAAAAAATATATATATATTCTCAATATCATAAGTGATCAAAGGCTTTGAACAAGCAGTTCTCAAAAGAAATCCAATCTATCAACAGCCATATGAAAAAATGCTCCAGATTATATCTAATAATCTGAAAATGCAAATTAAAGCAACTCTGAGAATCCACCTCACACCCATTAGATTGACAAAGTTGACAAAAAAAGAAAAATGATGAATGCTGGAAAGGCTGTGGAAAAACAGGCACTTTTAGTGGAGTTGTAAATTGTTCCCCCTATTCTGGAAAGGGATTTGGAATCCTTCCTGAAGTTACTAAATTGTGCATATCCTTTTGGCTTAGAGAGTCTACTACTATGATTTGCCAGAGAGCAAAGAAAGAAGGAAAAGACTCAAAAGTACAAGAATATTTAAAACAGCTCTTTTTGTAGGAGCAAAGAAACAGAAAACTAAAGGAGCTCCCATCAACTGAGGAATGACTGACCAAATCATGATATTTAAATGTAATGAAATATGAGTACGTTGTAAGAATTGACAAAGGACGATTTCAGAGAATACTAACTAGGAAGATATGTATGAATTGATGAAGAGTGAAATGAGCAGAATAAGGAGAAAAAATTATACAATCTTATAATGACAGAAAACTTTAAAAGAAAGTCTTTAAGAACTCTGATCAATGCTATAACCAATTACGATTTCGAAGGGCCAATGATGAAACATGGTACCCACCTCCAGACAGAGACATGCTAGAGATGTAGAATGAGACATATTTTTGGACAGGGCTATTTTGGGAATTTGTTTTCCTATCTTATGCATATTTTTATAATGGTTTTGTTTTTCCTTTCCCATGGTAGGAGTGGGGGAGAAAGAGAGGAAGGGAAGGAAGAGAAAATAAAATGTTCTTAGTTGAAAAAATTAAGACCAAAGGAATAGAAGAAATGTCTAGTAATCTTGACTTCAAGTATGAATGAATTAAACAATTCAATAAAAGAACCTGAGAGAATGAATAAAAAAATCTACTGCATAACAAATACCTAAACTGTAAATAAACCTAGATAGTGAAAATGAAAGGATGAAAGATGATTTCATGAGGTCTCCAAGAGACATCAAGAGAAAGATAATAGAAAGAAATGCCAATCACAACAACAAAATATCTAAAACAATTTGGGCCATTAATCCACCAACATACACATAGAGACAACTAAAGGAAGAACTAATAAGTAATGAGCTATCCAATGTAAATGGCTAGATTGAATCAAAATAGTAAAAAAAAGTGTCAATACTATTTATAGATTTAATACCAAATAAATCAAATTACCAACAATTTACCTTTAAGATTAGATAGTCAATATGAATGGATTAACCTCTTTCTAACTGACCCCAAAGCACCTAACTAAGAAAATTGGACAGAAGTTATAGATATATAGATTTAAAGAACAATTTCCTAATCATTAGAGCTATCAAAAATGAAATGGGTTGCCTCAGGAGTTAGTGGATTCTCCTTCATCAAGATTTAAAAAAAAAAAAAGGTGGCTAGGTGACCATTGTTAGGGATGCTGAATCTTTTTTGTTCAGATATTGGTTCTATTCAGTTTTTGAAATTTGGATTTTGTGTTGTAAGCATATAATCATAATATCCATGCCTCAATAAATAGCCAAAAGATATTCATTTCTATAAAGAAGATAAATTAATTGGTAATAATCATCTGAAATATTGCTCAAACTCAAATCAAGAAAATGACAATCAGAACAACTAGGATACTGTCTTATGTCAAACAAAATGGCAATATCATTTGAAATTATAAAATTCAATACATGGGAATGTGAGGGAAAAGACAGGCTATTATACTCCTTAAAGAAGTAAAAACTGGTGTAATCTTTTAGGAAATCAATTTTGAAAATAAGAATTTTTAAATTACATGTCTTTAATCCAGTAATTCAATTACTAGGACCATAGCGTAAGGATATTTTCAAATGGAAAGAGGGCCATATATTAAAAAAAATACTCAAAACATTTTCTATTAATTAAAGCCAAATGGAAATAAATTATATATAAAGCAATTGGGAAATGGCTGAATATACTTTGTATGTTAACAAAATTAAATATTAGGGATAGGGAGAGGTACTGGACCAGAATTTTACTGGTATAGAAAAATCCCTGGTGAGGAAAATCCTTTTCTTAATGCAGACAGACACCTGATGTGCAGCAGCGATGTCAAAATCAAATAGAACAAGGGCCATTAAAACATACATCAAGATCCCTGAGGGCTGCATATTGACTCAGAAAAACTGAACATATTTATATATTTCTTTTTCTTAGTAATATAACAACACATTAAAATCAGATAAGAACCATATTTTAATTTGGTTCAGGATTCCACAACTCAGGAATGTTGGTGAGCTGCATACAGCGTGTTTGACACTTCTAGCCTAGACGATTGAGAGATTAAGGAACCTGCCCAGGGACACAAACCAGTATGTGACAGGGCCACATGAGGTGAGACTTGAACCTAGGTCTTCTTGGCTCTGAGGGTAGTTCTCTATCACTATGCCATACTGCCACCATGATGGAATTAAGGATACTATAAAAATGACAAATAGGAGAATTACAAGAAACACAGAAAGACCGTAGTAAGGTGAAGAAAACAAAATCAGAAAACACATCACAATGATTATGACTATAAGAAAATTTGTAATAAAATCTGCCAATGGCACAGGAAAAGGAGAGATAAAAGAGGGTATAAAAGCAAGTAAGAATTCTTTTATTTAAATTTTTATAATTTTTTTGTATAATGAACAAAAGTTATAAGTTTTTCTTACATGCCTGATTTCATTCCTTATTCTGTTGGTTTTATTTTGAAAATGACTATTAAGTTTAAAATACAAAAAAATTTTAGAAAAATGACTTTATAGGTAAACTCTATTATAAGAAACCATTTCCAGAAAGGATTTGTAAAGCACATAGGTAAAGAAAAAAGGTTTCAATGGACATCTGTGAGACAAATTTTTTCTAAATATACATACCGTTCCATCTTCCATGAGTTTCAAGCAAGAACCAAAATCCGCTAACCGTATGTGACCATTCACATCCATCAGAATATTGTCAGGCTTAATATCCCTGCAAAAAGAAATGCATTAAAGTTTTAGATGGGGAAAAATAAACATAAGATGTCATTTAATAAGATTATTCTTTAACTGCTTCTTCTCATTTCTAAAGGATCTCTCTAGACTCACTAAGTAATTATTATTTAGTTACTTGTCAGCTGAAATCATTCTTTCCCAACAAGAAAGTAATATATTCCTGGCTCTCTTGTGGACCAGGAATATAAGATAATCTGTTTGACTAGAGTTCTCCCATCTACCTCTGATGTACAGCAGCCTTTTGTATGGCTACCAGAAGTTGAAGAAAGGCGTAGTAATTCTATATTTGCACATTTCTTTATGTTGCTAGGTCTAGGACATTAAAAAGTGGTATCTTATACCTTTTCATGAGTTTCTGAAGGCAATTCTAAATATGTAAACACAAGATATTTTAGCATGGGGGTAAGAATAATTTCTATATAGGTAAATTATGGTCATCTCTAGTTCACATTCCCTTGATACTGATGTTAGAACCATTCTCACTAAATTTAGAACTATGTTAGGCCTATATTTAAAAACATTAAAAAAAAAAGAATGGTAATTCCCTACATACTTCAAAGGTACAGCAAGACAGTAAAAATGTGATTCAGTGTATGTTCGGAGTTTTCATGGGCACTAATAAAACAGCACATAGATTAGTTCTCTCATCTTGAGCTATACTAATACTTAAAAAGATCTTCCATTTTACCACCAAAAAATTAATTGCTTCAGAATAAAACAATACAATGAAATGTCCATGCTACTATAGCTCCATAAGCTAATCTCTTCAAAATGGTTACTCTGCTTCTGCTGTTGCCACAACTTTCCAAAATTAATGAAGGCTTTAGATGAGCTGTGGAACAGCAGCAGACCCCAAGATCTCACTCCTTCCAACAGGACAGATGGTAATTCAACCATACCTTTTCACCCTGTGCAACCCCTGTTCATCTCTCCTTCCCATAAATCCTTCAAGAGGGGTCCACACAATGTGTAGAGTATTATTCTCTACATTTACATAAATACAAATGCACCTTCTGAGCTATAAATCTCATTTTCTCTGTTCTCGTTACATGACCAAACCACTTTGTTTTCTAAGCCATATATCAATATGTCACAAATTCTAGGGCAGATTTAGATTTGGAATTTTCAGAGGAAATTATTTAGTGTAGTAAATGAAAATCTCAGTAATGAATTAGATAGCATGGCAGAATTTTATTATAATAAAAGTGTCTACAAAGGTAAATCTCATACTAGTAAAATGATACTTTAAAACAAAAAAAAGAGGCCTTAAAAAGTACAATGAAAATACCACAAGCTATTTTACCAGCAAACATTTTTTAAAAAAGTAAAAAGATTAAGCATATCTAGTTATACTTATTTCTTTCGAAAGTAGAAAAATAAAAGACTTTAGTTCAATTGTTTTATAGTAAAATTGCCAAATGCTGTAGGCAACAAGGAGAGACATGATCCCCATGTTATCGTGAGTCTCTATGATATATCTAATGTCCATAGAGAGTGTGTCACCTTTGAGTGAGGTGGGCAGTTCTTAAAAGCATCCTATCAGTCTGTCAGCTAATACTGTTCTACTACTCTTCTCCCAACATAGTAGGTCTAATCTGAAGGAAGAGTGCCAGACAACTGCTGCTTCACAGCTCACCAAAAGCCTTTATTTACTTTGGCAAGTGGTTGCGGCAACAGCAGGGGTGATTTATAGAGAAGGAAAGTAACCATTCAGAAAAGAGTTTAATTAAGAGAAAGGAGTTTGTGATGCTTTATGTTTTTAATGCAAGTCCGACCTAAATAACTCTAAAGTTTAAAAAAAAAAACAAGTCATTTGAAAGGCATGGATAAAATTTGCTACTACATCCAAAATTCAATCATACAAAAATATCATTACAATAACTATAAGAAAAAGATCAAATCCCAGTCTACAATGTGATCAATACTCTAATATTCCAATGAATATGAAATCTGATCAACAGATAATTCTTCCAATGATGCAGATCATAACCCATCCACAGAAATGGCATGTTGTAACTGGAAAGGCACTGTATTTGGAAACAGAAAATTTAGGTTCAAACCCTGACCATGTAAAAAATATGCAACACATGAACATATATGAACACATTCTAGTTTCAATTCTACCACTAATGAGCTAAATGACCTTGGATGAATTACCCACTCTATGTAAGATTTACTTTTTTTAAATCTATAAAATAAGCAATACTGTACTATATTGAATTTGATTTATTGAACACCTATGCGACAGACACAAAAAAGTATGTTGATTAATGGATCAATGGAGATACAAATACAAGTTCCTTTTCTGGCTCTAAAATTATCTCAATCCAGAAAGCTGTAAAAATAGGATTTGACCAGTAATTTTTTTTTTTTTAAGGCAATTGGGGTTAAGTGATTTGCTCAGGGTCACACAGTTCGTAAGTGTCAAGTGTTTGGTCTGAGTCCGAATCTGAACTCAGGACCTCCTGACTTCAGGGTTAGTGCTCTATCCATTGCACCACCTAGCAGCCCCCTGACCAGTAATTTTTTTTTAAAGATGCAGTTTGGGTCATGAAGTACAAAGTCAACTCAGAAAATAATATTTTATGATTTTACCTTCTTATTCAACAATTAGGAGGCAAAAATTATCTTAAAACAATAATCTTAAATTATAATTTAACAGGGAGAAGCATAATAAAATAAATGCATAACAGCTAAATAAGTATGTGTGTATGCATACATACACACACACACACACACACACACACACACACACACACCCAGACCACATGCATATATGGTCCAAGGGCAGTACTATCCTTTTTTGGAAATGGACCTCAAATTCTGTAGGAGTTATATTCATTCTCTAACAAGAGAGAAATTCCAAAGACCAGCAGAACCTTTCCAACCATCTGTGATTCAATCAATTAACAAGAATTTATCAAACAACTACCAGATGCCAGCCACTATGCTATGCACTGGGGATATAACATCAAAGAATAAAATAATCTGTACTGCAGAAGTCAGTGTTGACTCTTCCCTCTTTCTCATGCTGCTATATCTAATTACTGTCAAGTCTTACTGAAAATACTTCTACAGCATTATTTCTCTCACACAACCCCTTTTTCACCACCCACAAGGCCACTGACCCGATTGAGCCTTCATCATGTGTTGCCTGTACTATTCCGGTTTAACCATGGTCACATAGCTAGTTAAGGATTCAAATTGAAATTTTCCTGACTGCAAGTTCCACACTATTGACGTGTTAGTAGTATCAATATTTTCAACCTCCTAGCTCTATGCACAAACAATTAACATAAATCTGATTATCATCATATTCATTATAATGATTTAGTGGAGATTATATTGTTAATCAAATACTCATTCCCTAAAATGGAGAAGATACACAGACACACACAGATACACACAGGAACACACACACACACACACACACACACTAATTACAGGGTATTCCCAAAATCTTCATGCAATTTTAATGAAAACTGCACTGAGACTTTTAGGGCACCCTATATAAAGAAAAGAAATATGAAATGATTAATTACAAGAAAGTTTGTGAAGGAGAGACATAACAGCAGCTGGGGGAACAAGGAGGATCCACCCATACAGAAGCTAGTGTTTGAATGGACTTTTGAAAAAAGGGAACTTTATGAAGCACAGGCAAGGAATAAGTACAATCCAGACAAGATAGATGACCAGTGCAAAAGCATGGAAATGGAAAATGAAATGTTGTGAATGCAGATGGCAGAGAAAACTAGTTTGGCTGGACTGCTAATGGCAGGAGGAGTGACATCCACTAAGAATGGAAAGATAACTAAAGGATTGAGGAGGGAAGAAAGGTTAAGAATAGCTTCTGTTGGCAGTAATGTATGGAATCAATTATGGAGGAATAAATGGATTGCCTTGCTGCAGTGAGAGTCCTGTTGAGTTTGGATAATAGGAAATTCTTAATGTCCCTGGTCAACATGACTGTGAGATTTCTGGCTCCCATTCATCTGAAAATGATTAGAGGTGGAGGAGTTGTTTGGGGAGGATAATTATGATGATAGATAGGCAAAAGGACAAGAAGATAAGGAATTTGAGATCAGAGGACAATGCAGAGTTTAAACGGATATCAACAGGGTCAAAACTGGACATGTGAATTCAGTGGAGGGCAATGGCCTAAGAAAATACAAAGGGGTGCAGGAATTGGAGGTTCTGATGAGAGCAAAGAATAGGTTTAGAAGGGATGAAGTATATGGAGAGGTGGAATCAAGGATGTGGTAGAGTCAGCATGAACAAACTCAATGTGATTCAAATGTTACATTTTCAGGATGAGCACTTACATCTCAGAAAGTGATGAAGCCACAAACCAAGGCTTATTGTTTTGATTGTCTAGACTTAACAAAGTGATGAAGGAAATGTTAATAACGCAGATTAAACTCAAAAGTGTGTCGTGTACATTTTTTGTTTTCAAACACTGTTAAACACTTAATAGCGCACCCCCCCCCCCCGGGCAGAATGATAAGTTATGGACTCCTTGTTCAGACACCTTTAAATATTTTGGGGTAATGGTGAGATCCAATGTTTGATCATCCCTATTTGTGACAGAGGTGCAGTGAAGGAATAGGTCACAGGATTAAAGAAAGCTGAGGTACTGAGAAGATAGGAAGGTAAGGGAGCATTATTATTAACACAGAAGTTCCCTAATATCTGGGAAAAAGCTGAGGAGAGGAAGACAGTGATCCAGAATCCAAGATCAAATAGAGAAAAGAAGGTAGGGAGAGGGGGGCATGGTGTATACAACAGCTACCATGATTTCAACTGGGTGAAAAATTCTGATTTAGTAGAAGAGTAGAGTGAGAAATATAAAGGTAAGAGTATAGAAGTGGCAGTGAGGAGCAAAGGGTACTTCTCCTCCAAGACCAGCACTGAACAGGAAGGAAAGTTTATTATGAAATAGGAATTTCAAAGGGTGGAGCATGGTTGGGGGTAGGCTTG